AAAAAATGGATAACATGCACGAGCAGATTAATATAAGCAGGGTAATACAAGTAGAGAAGTGGAAACTCTAACAAAAGAATGAGAAGGAAATGCTAAAAGTAAAAAACATTGTAACAGAAATGAAGAATGCCTTGCAAAAATTATTAACAGAAGTTCTTCAGGGAAAAGGAAATGATATAGGTCAGAAACTCAGATCTACATAAAGAATGGAAGAGTATTAGAGAAGGAATAAAAGTAAAATAAAATCTTTCATTTTATTTTATTTTATTTATATTTTGTTATAGCAAATGGATAAGTTAAATGAATGACAGCAGTGTTATAAGGGATGTGAGGGAGGAATTGGGGATATTCTGAGTTACCTGCAATAACTTAGTGTGCATGAAGCAGTGTAATGTGATTTGAAGATGGCCTTAGATAAGTTTAAATGTATATTGAAAAGTCTAAGGCTACCACTAAGATTTTTTGGAAGTATAATTGATATGCTAAGAGAGGAGATAAGATGAAATCATATAAAATGTTCAATTAAAACCTGAGAAGGCAGAAAAAGAGGAGGTGAAAAAAGAAACAAAGAACAATTGCAATGAATAGAAAACAGTTACAAAATCAACTCAGGGAAACAACAAGAAACAAACAACCCACTTAAAAAAATGGGTAAAGAACTTGAATAGACATTTCTCAAAAAAAAGATATACAGATGCCCAATAAACACATAAAAAGATGCTCAACATCACTAATAATTAGGGAAATGCAAATCAAAATCACAATAAGAAATCACTTCTACACCTGTTAGGATGCCGACTATAAAAACAAAAAAACAGAATATAACAAGTGTGGAACTTCCCTGGTGGCCCAGTGGATAAGACTCGGTGCTCCCAATGCAGGGGGCCTGGGTTCGACCCCTGGTCAGGGAAGATCCCACATGCATGCCACGACTAGGAGTTCACATGCCACAACTAAAGAGCCCACTTGCCACAACTAAGGAGCCCACATACTGCATCTAAGGAGCCCCCCCGCTGCAACTAAGACCTGGTGCAACCAAATAAATAAATATTTTCTTAAAAAAAGAAAGAAGCACATGGTGTCCAGGTGGCTCTTTAAAAAAAAAAAGAATATAACAAGTGTTGGCAAGAAATTGGAACACTTGTGCATTGCTGTTGGGAATGTAAAATGGTGCAGCCACCATGGGAAACAGTATGACAAGTACTCCAAAAATTAAACATAGAATTACCATATGATTCAGCAGTTCCTCTTCTGGGTATATACCCAAAACAACTGAAAGCAGGGACTTGAACAGACATTTGTACATCCATGTTCATAGCAGCATTATTTCACAATAGCCACAAGGTGGAAATAACCCAAATGTTCATTGATAGATGAATGGACAGAGAAAATTTGGTTTATACATACAATGGAATTTTATTTAACCTTAATAAGGCATGAAAATCAGACCGTCTACAATATAGATGAATCTTGAAGACATTATGCTGAGTGAAATGAGATGTGGCGATTAATGGCGGTGGAGGTTGCGCAGCAATTTGAATGTACTAAACGCCTCCGAACTGGACACTCATGAATGGCTGAAACAGTGAATTCCGTGTTATACAGTCATCCCTTGGTATTCGAGGGGGAGTAGTTCCAGGATCTCTGTGGCTACCAAAATCCACAGATGCTCAAATCCCTTATATAAAATGGTGTAATATTTGCATATAACCTATGCACATCCTCCGGAATATTTTATTTAATTAATTAGTTTAAACCAATGCTAATTTTTAAAAATTTATTTATTTATTTTGTTTTTGGCTGTGTTGGGTCTCTGGTCGCTGCGCGTGGGCTTTCTCTAGTTGCGGCGAGCGGGGGCTACTCTTCGTTGTGGTGCACGGGCTTCTCATTGTGGTGGCTTCTCCTGTTGTGGAGCACAGGCTCTAGGTGCACGGGTTGTCACTAGTTGGGGCACGCAGGCTCAGTAGTTGTGTCTCGCGGGCTCTAGAGCACAGGCTCAGTAGTTGTGGCTCATGGGCTTAGTTGCTCCTTGGCATGTGGGATCTTCCCGGACCAGGGCTTGAACCCATGTCCCCTGCATTGGCAGGTGGATTCCTAACCACTGTGCCACCAGGGAAGCCCCCTCCTGTATATTTTAAATCATCTCTAGATTACTTATAATACCTAATACAGTGTAAATGCTATGTAAATTGTTGTAAATACAATGTAAATGCTATGCAAATAGTTGCCAGAATGTGGCAAATTCAAGTTTTGCTTTTTGGAATTTTTTTCAAATATTTTCCATCCACCATTGGTTGAATTTGTGGATGCAGAACCTATGGATATGGGGGGCCAACTGTATGTATTTTACAACCCACATTTTAAAAAAACTGAGAGAAAAAAGGTAAATATGGTTGCCTCCCTTGAAGACCTAAGAGATGGATGGGTGGTGGTTCCCATCATACCTCTGTTTAATTTACCAGTCTGGCCTCTGCAAAATCCAGACAAATCCTGGAGAATGGCGATGGACTATCACACATCTAACCAAATAGTATCCCCAATTGCAGCTGCTGTGCCAAGTGTGCTATCTTTGCTAGAGCAGATTAGTAGGGACTCAAGTACATGATATGTGGCCAGTGATCTGGCAAATCGACTCTTTTTTTATCCCCTATCAAAAAAAGAAGCAGAAATAACTGACATTCCTTTGGAATGTGCGACAATATCCATTTATGGCCTTGCCCTTAAGCTATGTTAACTCTTTGTCCTCTGTCATAACATAGTCTGAGGAGACATGGACCAGCTGGACATCCTGCAGAGTATCACACTGATCCAGTAAATTGATGACATCATGCTAGTTGGATCAAAAAACAAGCGATTGCTAGGATATTGGAGGCCTTGGTAATTTACATGCATCCTCAAGGGAGATGAACTCGAAAAGACTCAGGAGCCTGCCACATTAGTATTTTTTCAGAGTCCAGTGATCTTGAGTATGCTGGGGCGTCCCTTCTAAAGTAAAAGAGAAATCACTGCATTTTGTAGCTCCCATCATGAGCAAGGCAGCACAATGCCTGCCAGGTCGACCTCTTCAGGTTCTAGAAGCAATATATTTCCAGAAGTACTGCTCCAACTCACATACCTGGTGACACAGTAGGATGCCATTTTTCAGTCGGGTCCATAGCAGGAAAGGACTCTGCAACAGGTCTAGGCTGCAGGGCAAGCAGCTATTGGCCTTTTGGACCACACAGCCCAGCAGAGCCTATTAGGGGTATCAGTGGTGGGAAAATATGACATGTAGATTTTATAACAAGCCCCAATAGGAGAATCACAATGTAAATCCATAGAATTCTGGATCAAAGCCATGCCAACTGCAACAGAGAATTATACACCTTTGAAAACACAGCTCCTGGAATACTACTAGGCCCTGATAGAGATGAATGCCTCACCATGGAACACCAAGTGACCATGACACCAGAACTACCCCTCATGAGATATTTCTATCACACTTTGCAAGGCATTAGCTGGGGCAGACCCAGGTAGAAGAGGTACATCTAGCATTGAATGTGAACAAGACCTGAGGGCACAAGCAAGATGCAAGAGAAGATAGCATGCAGGTAGCTCATAGCATCATGCAGGTGCTGTTATGCAGCACTTAGTGGTGTGCTGGAGCCAGTCTGCACCAGCTCATGAGAGCTCATTGTTGTTTTCAGGAAGGGTTGCCATCTTGTCAACATCATATTGGTGGTTTGAAATTGACCATAGTGGAAGTATTTACACTATGAAAATTAGCTAATGTTATAAATCAGATATTTTTTTCTCCTTTTCAGAAAGCCAGTTGTTAAATATTTACCAGTATACCACTGCTCAGCTCACATCTCTTACTGCATGGGGGAATTTTTGATGATCAGTTGATGCAGGAAAAAAAGCCTGAGCTTGATTCACAAATGGCTCACCTTAGTTTGTTGGTGAAAGCTAGAAAGGGGTGATGGCTGCACTGCTGCCCCACTTTCAACATGGTCTTGAAAGATGACGGTGAGGAGAATGCCTCCCACCTGGTCAGCTACTTTATGTGGAAAGAGAAGTGGCCTGAAATTAGAATACACAGGGACTCATGGACAGTGCTGGATAGCTTGGCCCTCTGATCAGGGGTTTAGAAGCGGAAAGCTTGGAAGACTGGGGAACAGCAAAGACAAGGGTAAAGCCATGTGGTTGAACATATGGAAGTGAGCATAGAGTGTGAAGATCCTTATTTCACATGTTAATGACCATCAGAGAACATCCATCATAGGAGATGTACTACAAAAACACATATCCAGTTGATACAAGCCAGCCTCTGTCATCAGCCACTCCAGTGCTTGCATCTTGGGCACATAAATGGAGTTCCCGTGGTAGCAGGGATGGAAGCTATACATGGATGCAATGGCACAGGTCCCTCTTAAGGGTGATCGACCTACTCTCACCACTGAATGTCTGACCTTCTTGCAACAGAAACCAACAGCACAGTCCCTCCAAGAGACCACGCAACCACCTGATGACAAGTTAACTACTTTGGATACCATCTACCCTTTCCCAAGGATAGATGTATATTCTAGGTGTGAATTTGCCTTTCCTGCCTGCCAGCCCTCATCCAGTACCATTATCCAAGCACATATAGAATGTTTAATCCTCCAGCATAAGATTCCACATACTACTGTGTCACACAAAGGGACTCACTTAACATTAAAGGAAGTGCTGGAACAGGCATAATACCGTGAGATCCACTGTTCACATCACATACCGCCATACCCACAAGCCACTAGCCTGATAGAAGAGCCAGCTCAGAGCCAATGCCTTATGAAGATGGCATGCTGTCCTGTGCAATGCAGGGGACATTCTAAATAAATGACCCTTATAGGGTGCTGTTTCCCCAGGAGGTAGAATACACAGGCCTAGGAATCAAGAGGTGCAAGTGGGGGTACTCCCATTTTCCTTCACTCCTACTGATCCATTTGGGGAATTTGTGCTTCCCTTTCCTAAAACTCTAGGTTCTGAACAGTCAAGAGTCTTGGTTGCTAGAAGGCAGTACTTCCACCATGGCTGCCAGCTGGGCTCTTTAAGCTCCTCCTGCCAAGGTGTCACAGGACAAGAAGAGGAATCACCATCCTGGCAGGAATAATTGGCCCTAGTCACCAGGAAGAGGTAAGACTGCTGTTAGACAATAGGGGCAAAAAAGAATATGTTTTCCACCTGGGTGATCCATTTGAGCATCTCTTGGTACTCTCTTGTTCAGTTTTGGTAATAAATAGACCAGTGTAGCAGCTACAGACTGAGAACAGCATTGTGACCAGGGACTCAGACTCTTAAGAGTTGAGGGTCTGGGTCATACTACCAGGTAAGCCACCAGGAGCACCAGAGGTGCTAGCTGAGGGTGAGGGTAAAATAGACAGCCAGTAGAGGAGGGAAATGATGAGTATTAATTGCAGCACTGAGACCTACTATAGTGGTAGTGTCTGTAGTTGATCCCAATAGTGTACTTCCTCCCCAGGGTAGCCTATGTCTAACGACTGAACATCATGGAAGTATAAATCCTGGTCCCAGCTGTCATGATCTGGACCAAATTGGGAGGGCTACCCTAGCTTCGGAATTCCTATTAGGATCAACTTAGACCTTTTAGGGGACTAACACAGCCAAACTTTTCTCTCTGCCAAATTCTACTTTCTTTTCTTTTCTTTCCACTGGTGTTGATCCCTGAAGCAATCCCTAGTAAACTTCCTACATGCTAATCTCAGGGTCAGAGTCTGCTTCCCAGGAAACCCAATTTAAGACACTAGGTTGGTTTCTTTATTTTCAATATGAAAAACCTCCAAACAAATTCTAGATTAATTATCAGAAAGCTTGAAAGCCTCATATGTACATTGATTAATTCATTCATTCAACAAATATTTATTTAGTACCACCTATATATCAAGAACCATTCTAGAGGCTAAGGCTATAGTGACAAAAACATAAAAAGATTCCTCTCCTTGTGGCACTTGTATTCTAGTGGAGGGTAACCAACAATGAGCATGAAACAAATAAGATAATTTTGGTGAGTGCTATGAAGAAAATAACACATGAGAGTATGATAGGAAGTAACTCGAGATGCTAGAGGTATGATGGGTTCCATCAAGAAGATGGTTAAGTACAGCTTCTCTTAGAAGATGGCATTTGAGCCCAGATAAGAGGAACCCAGCCTTTTAAGAACTTGGTAAGAATATTCCAGGCAGAAAAAAGAGCATGTGTAAGGAAGGAAATGAGTGTGAGCATGTAAAAACTAGGACAAAGAGCAGAGTTGAAGGAGGTGGTGACCAAGAGGGAGTGGGCTAAGAGGAGGCCATTGAGGTAGGCAGGGGCCACATTGTATAGGACCCATGGGAAATTGAAAGGAGTTTGGATTAATTCTAATCTCAGTGGAAATCCATTAGAGGATTTTAAACAAGGGAGTAGTATCATCCGTTTTATTTTTTCATAAGTCAATTTAGTTGCTGTTGGAGAATCAACTAAGGGGGAGAAAGGCAAAAAGTGAGAACAGGGAAATTGTTGTTGAAGTAGCCCAGGTAAGAAATGATGGTGACTAAACCTGGAATGGTGGCAATAAGCAGGTAAGAGGTAGTTGGATTTGGGATCTATTTTAGAGGCATAGCCAACAGGACATGCTAATGGATTGTCTCAGTGGAAGTTCAGGATAACAGAAAGGAGAAGAATATAGAATGTCTGATCAACTGGATGGATGGTGGAACTGTTTATTAAGATGGGGAGGATTGTGGTGGGTGGGTTGGAGGGAATGAATCAAGAGTTCTAATTTGGTGATGCTAAGAGACATGACACCGAATGATAGGTAAAGTCATGAGTTCCGGGCCCCAGAGAAAGGCTTCAGGTGGGTAAAAATTAATACTGGTTTCCCCCAGCAAGAAGTCAGGCCACCTCTGGATTTCCAGACAGTTTACTGTGAACATTTAAGCGATCTGGGGCAAGGATATCAGTGAATGCCCCTCGCCCGTGGCATACACACCTTCTCTCTCCTCCCTGTGTGGACACTCCAGCCCAACTGTGATGGCTCTGGTCCAGGTTCCCAGGGGGCACAGACTCCAAACAGCCACATTGCCTTGGCCCTGTAGACACTTGGCCAAGTGGGTGAGTATTGCCTGAGAAGAGCCCCAGGGGCGCCCTCTGTAGCCCAGGGCTCAGGGCAGGAGCCCCGGCTCCCTGGGTCTAAGGGAGATCTTGCTCTAGGCTCTAGTAATGTGTGCCAGTTTCTCCCCTCATCATGATAACTGTATAAATAGAGCAGTAGGAAGCTCAGGGCACCTAGTTATCAAGCCCCATACAGGTGCTGAATTATTTAAGAGGCAAGTAAGAAAAATGGGAGCCTGTAAAGAAAACAAAAAGGAACAGAAAGTGAGGAAGGCAAGCCCACCAGACTGTGAGAGACTTGAGAACAGTGGCCACGTCATAGCCAAGCTTGGATCCTCAGCACAATGCCTGGAACTTACTAGGAGCATGGGGACAGCTTCTCTTTCCAACCCCAGCTTTACACTCTTTTAAGGCACATCTTCCTCTTGGGGAAAGTACCGGCAAGGAAGATTTCACCATTTTCGCCAACTCAGTAGAGCCTGACCTCCATTAGTCCATGTTTCTCAGTTGGGTGAAATAAGTGTCACTGTGCAACCAGCCTTTTGGTTCTTGTTCTCTTGGATCTGCATGCCCACAAAGGGAGTCCATTGTCTTTCTGCACTCCCACTCCTCAGAGGAAGCTTGCAGAGATAAAGCACCCACACTGCTCTCACACACCCCCTCCCCACCAACCCGTTCCCCCAACAAGAGGAGGGAGGCCTGAAGTTCCCCAGGGGTGCTACTTCTGTTCAAAGAGGAAAGAAATATTAGCCCCACTATCAATCTCATGTTTAAGATGGTTCTTGGTCAGTTCTCCAAAAGCCAGTTTTCTAAAAGCCAACTCACCGAAGGCCAATTTACTGAATGGCCCAGTCTCCAAAGCCCAATCACCAGGAGGGAGTCTGATGTGGGTCTTTTCTGTATCTTCCACATCTCTCCTTAACATGCTCATGTTTTCCTCCACCTTCTTGAACATATTTGTTATTACTCCTTTAATGCCATAGTCTACTAATTTTATCATCTGTGTTATTTCTGGATCTGTTTTATTGATTGATTTTTCTCATCTTTATGAGTTATATTATTCTGCTTCTCTGCATGCCTAGTAAATTTTTATTGGATGCAAATAGTTTGAATTTTGTCTTGTTCAATACTGGATATCTTTTGTTCCTTTGAATGGTTTTGGGCTCTGTTTTAGGACACAGTTAAGTTACTTGGAAGGAATTCAGTCCTTTCAAAACTTGTCTTTATACTTCGTTAGTTGGGTTCAGAGCAGCCTTTAGTCTAGGGCTAGTTCTGGGGATTGTTCTGCCTGATCTTTTCTGGTGGTCTTCCCCTAACCTCATGTAGAGTTCTCACACACATTGCTATGGACTGAATGCTTGTGTCCCCCCCAAATTCACATGTTGAAACCCTAACCCCCAATGTGATGGTGTTTAGAGGTGGGGTCTTCAGGAGGTAATTAGGTTTAGATGAGATCATAAGGGTGGGGCCCTTATGATGGGATAAATGCCCTTATAAAAAGAGGAGGAGACCAGGCATCTCAGTCTCTCTGAGACACCAAGGAAGGCCACGTGAGGGTATAAACAGGAAGAGAGCTCTCACCAAGACCCAACCAGACACCCTGATCCCAAACTTCCAGCCTCTGGAATTGTGAGGAATAAATGTGTTTTTTTAAATTTTTAATGGAAATACAGTTAATTTACAATATTAGTTTCAGGTGTAAAACATATCAATTTTTTTTTAGATTATACTCCACTTAAAGTTATTGCAAAATAATGGCTATGGAAATAAATGTCTGTTGTTTAAGCCACCTGGTCTATGGCATTTTGTTGCAGTGGCTGAGCTGACTAAGACACCTAGGTACTGATGAGTACTGAGCTGAACTCTCAAGGGGAACTCTCTGTGGAGCTCTGAGCTCTCTTCATGTGGCTGTTTACTATCTTCTGGCCTGACCCACAAATTCCAGCTCCCTTAACCTCCTCAGGGGTCAGAGACCACTCTGTTTAGGTGCTCCTTCCTGTGCTGCAGCTGAGAAATTCTCTCCAGGGGGTATGCTTGGACAGTCTTAGGGTTCACCTTGTTTGTTTTCCTTCTCCGTGCTGCCTGTTGTCCAATGCCTGAAAACTATTGTTTTACATATTTTTTTCTAGTAATTTCATTGTATAGGAAGGAGGCTAAATCTGGACCCTGTTATTTCATCATGGTCAGGTAAACTCAGTCTATACTATAGACTCAATGCTCCAGTATCTAGTAGGGAAGGTCTTCACTCATTTTTCTTTTTACTTCAAAACTTTCTTGGCCATTTGGGTCCCTTTCTCTTTCATATGAATTGTATAGCCAGCTTATTAAATTCCCTTAGAAAGTCCTGTTGGGTTTTGGATTGGGATGAATTAAATTTATATAATAATATGAGATATAACTGATATCCTTACATTTGCATATATCTTGCCCTTGGATGGGGAAAGTTAATATCATAAAATACTACTTCTCAGCTGCTGATGCTTTCGATGGCCTGGAAGGGGAGGATGCATAATACAATTGGATTGGGCATTTGAAGAACCAGTGGAGGACAGGCTGGCCATTTCAAGGTTGATAAGCTGGAAGGGGGTGGGAATTCTATTGGATTAAAACCTTAAAATTCTAAAGGTTAAGGAGATAAGAGTGATCTCTGAGACAGTTTATTATGAGAAAACAAGATGGAGAGAAGTATATATGGTATATATATTTAAGAAAGGGGAGATACATATACACATATATAGATACTGTGTATGTATACATGTGCATAAATCTATAACTACTGAAATTAAAAACTGTAAAGTTAATTAACTATAAAACCAGTTTTCAATGACTTCCTGTGGGGAAGTAGTGAACAAGCAGAGACAGAAGCTGAGCTTTTCTGAATATTCCCTGCTTTTAGATTTGACTTTAAAACCATATACGTTTTACACAATTATACATCAAACTTAAATTTTTAAAAAGCAATCCCTAAACACTGAAAGTAAAATAAAACAAATGAACCCAACTCAACCAGAATCATGTTTTGGTGG